AGTGTAGACTATAGAATTTTATTTAATTTTTCACCTAAAATCCACAATTTCTACAGCACATAAACAGCTTACACCCTTTACACAATTACTTCATATAAATGTCATCCACCATTAGAAAATTTTGGTATTCAACTTACAAGAGGCTATTACAGACAGAAAAAATCCTCAAATTAACTCACAACACAAACCTACTGGATAATGTAGAATACATGTAAAAACCACAGCTAAGTTCTAAACACAACAGTAATGATTAAGAATCAAATGTTCAAAGCAAAAGTCAATATACATTTGTTGGTCTAAGATAAGAAATAAAAATTCTTGCTACAGGAAAAGAAAAACAGAAATTAAAGTTTATGTTTTAATATAGTGTTTTCTTTCTGAGATGTTTAGATACTTAAAGCTAAAACTAGATCAGGATACTGGAAGTACAATTGTAAGACCAGTAACACAAGCAGAACAGGTTACACAGAGTGTAATTCTTGTTTTTCACATGTCCAGGATTAAGAAAAGCCAGCAAGTACAATCAATTCATATGTACAGACAAGTACAAAGGGGGAGTTACAATCTGCTTCACATTATTGAGTTTTTACTCTTTCATGACAGAAGCAATCTTCAATCTCCTACAAACTCCTCCTCATAATCCAGACAATCTGGGGCACTTAAAAGTTATCCCCAGAAGGATTTTAAATTTAAGAAAGTTCTGTTGCCAATTTGCTCTGAACCAAAGAAGTTTTTCGAGTGGGAAGAACATCTGGAGTTGGTATAGCATCACCTGTTGACTCCCTAACAATTGGTGCTGCTGGAACACGAGCCTTCTGACTCTTTGCTTTAGCCATATTATAGTCTCCAGAGTCAAAATACTTCTGCTAAGGAAGATAAAAACACTCAAATGAATTTGTATTAAACCAAAATTAAACTGTCTTGACACATCCAGGTATTAAGTTAAAAAGTATTAGAAAATTACAATGCTTTGGAAATTTAAAACACAGAAATAATTATGGAAAATTTATTCTAATCAGATATATTCATTTACATAATAAAAAAAATATTTTACCTAGATAATAAAAAGAGTCAAGTTATTCTGACAATACCACAATAAAGTTTTCACTTCTTATTACAATAACAAAATCCCTGGAACAATGGGAAAAATAAATCCAAAAAAATATCTTAAAAATAAATTTGACATTAATCTTTATTACAGATAACAGTTTCCAAAATAACACTGACAAATTGAATGATTATAAAATACATATGTATATGAACAACAGTCAAGAATAAAATAAAAATCAATAACACCTGAATTGTTGGTCTTCGGAAACCCAGTCCTGAATTACCAAATAACATCTAAAAGCCAGATTTAACCTCAAAAATAACACTAAGTGATAGTTTTTGTCACAAAAAAAAAACTTTAAAAGTTTAAAAATAAGTCATTTTGTTTCAATTTCAGAACATAACTGAAGTATGTACCAAACAATGAACACAACAAAATACACCCGTACACTAAGCAGATTAAAGTTCCATGCTTGCTTGAAATAAAAATTAAAAGGTGTGGTTTTTGTTACACTGAAAAGAAACAAAATTTAAGTTTGTAAAGATAACTTTTTATAAGACAGATTTTCAACAAATATTTTTTCATAGGATAAACCACATTGAAGTACTTTTTAAAAAAAAAATTCTGTTTACAAATATTTCAATATTGCTCATGTACATTGCATAGCATTTAACAATCTAAAAACAAATTTTTAAATTTTTTAAAAAATTAATCCATCGGCATCAACACCAAATCATAAAATAGATTTAATTTTAACATAGTAAATTTACAAATAACTACTTTACACAGCACATTGTTCAACTTGTGACATACATGTAAATCTTTAAGCCAACTAAGATGTTGTCATCACACCCACAAAGTTTTGATAGCCTTAGGCAATCAGAAGAGAAACAAAAACACAACATAAAAAACACTTCATTTATCTTTAAAATACTCTTTCTCCAACAAAACAATTTTAGTTTCATTTTTAAACCCCACTTTTCAACATATCATAAAGTAATTTTTAACTCAGCTATTTTCTTCTGCACATTTATAACTGAACCAACCAATGAGACACCAGTTACTAGCACTTTTTAAATAACTCAAACAGTAAATAATATTGGTTTAAAACATCCCTATCCGATATACAATTAAATAACGAACTGTGTCCCATTACAACTACGGATTCAACAGTGAAATAAATAGAACTTTACATTTCCCTTATATATGAATTTACTGATTTAATTCAACCATTGAAATCCTTATATATGAATTTACTGATTTAATTCAACCAATGAAACCCTTATATATGAATTTACTGATTTAATTCGAACAATGAAATTTAAAACCTTAGAGAATTCAAAAACACATGTGGATGTATATTTACCTCCTTCATATGAATATCTAGATATTGGGAAAAATAAACCTGTTTCTACTTGAAATTCCAAACTACATCATCTTTTTTTTCTTTTTAAACAACCCATTGTTGTAATCTGTAAGGTAATACAACAGCTACCAATGGAGTACAACTAAGGCTCCCTTAACTATTATGTTAATTATTCTTCTAACCTTCTTCTGTATTGTCACAATTTATTCACATATACATCTGAATATTGTTCTGTATAAAACACTGGAATGATCAATAGCATCAAGACTGAAGATTTGCTAGAATTTAAATGGGCCTAGAAGAATTACCTTTCTTCTGATTCTTGACAAGTAACATCATCATAAGTCATTTTTTTTCATTTCTTTTTTAATATTTCATCTTTCTGTATAACAAACAATTAGTTTCTAATGAACTGTAAGAAATAATTGTTTCTTCACTCATCAAATCTTTACTTTCAAGCAAATTTTACCATTCCAGATCATTCTGAATTCATTAGTATAATTCTTTCACCTAGTATTAAAAGCAGATTTTCTTATAACTGTACTAAAAGGAACTTTTCATTTGACAGTTAATAACATTTTAAAACTCGTACATTCTTTTAATGTACTTAAACATAAATTCAGTATATATATAATGCTATACAACTGATCTTATTACTTTACATTCTTCTGAAACAATATATTCTAGCTACTTTAATGAACTCAAGTTTCAACACAGGCTTATTCTAGACACAGCAAAAAAACACTGACCAAAGTGGGGATAAAGGATTGAAGGTTATGTGGAAAAGTGAGTATCTATCTCATATACATTTCCATGTAAAGGAAAATGTTAACTTCAGAAATACTACTTACCTCTCACACAAGTGATAGCAAGAATCGTACATAAAATAGATGGTGGAAGAGCCAGTTTATATAAATAAATTACAATGAATGAGCTCATTTCTGAAATTATAGCATCAGAAATGGAAAACTCACGGAGCATGTCACCTACTGGAGGTGTTAGTGTGGGGGGGGGGTGCATCATTCAGTGGGCGAAAGCATACTTCTCATGCAGGGAATACTCTTTGCCCAATAAAAGTGGTAGAGTAAAATGTACTGACAAAAGAAACTTCTGCCTGGTGATGATGTGTTAGCAGGATGTAAAGATTGCTGAAATGGCTAGTACATCTCAGACAATTGGCTGAGCATGGGTGTGTCGTGTGGCCATAAAGAAATACTTACCAGAATAAGCAGACACAGGGAGATACATTCCAGAACTGTTTCCTGATGTAAACTTAAGACCCATCTGGCTGATATAACCATTGGCAATGGCTTAGTTCATAGTGTAGGAGAGTAGGTTTTACTACACTTCTAGGTAACACAACAACCCTACTTCTGATTGAGGGTTGTGTCCACCTGGTCTCATATGAATGAGATTAAACCAACTTGAAGAGGAACTCACCATTTCAACCTCACTAGCAACTTGGGACTGGGAAAGCAAGAGTTCTGCTTTTACTCCACTAGAAGAAAATGGGGGGAATATGAGTGTGGAAGAACACCCGAGAGATATTTGGACCAAACAGGAATCATCACCTCTGTATAAGGTCCCACATGAGTAACTCCAAATATGAGCATTAGGTACTAGCCAGGTGTGAGAGAGCAGGATCACACCTGTTGCTTTCCTTATTTTCTCTTCTATTTTTCTGAAGTTTTATGTACATATACTTCCATAACAGTCTTGCAAAAAAAGCCTATCTCAACAGTGGGCTGAACACTATTTGTCATCTCTTACTCCATGTGGATTTTGAGAGAAAAATATTCCCTTTGAGTCAACACTGCCCACATGGTGGGTTCCATCATCTTGTTTGGAAGTAGAGCTGTGATGTTACCTAAAAGTGTAGTAAAGGCTGCACTCTAACCTACACTATGAAATATGCCATTACCAATAGTTATTGGAAACAAATCTGGGATGTATCTCCCTGCAACTGCTTATTCTAGTAACTATTGATAAATATATATATAGAGTGAGAGAGAATTAATGAGGTGGTTGTGGGATCCTCTAAGAGATTCAATGAAGAATGGCAACTAGAGGGAGACAGATGAAACCACAATGTTGTACAAATAATGTGAAACAAAGGTATTGGGAGTCATCCAATTCCCCACCTGCAAGATCTCATCTAGATGTTAAAGGCTACAGGCAAAATAAGCTGTGAGATGACATATTTGATGGAAAGAGACAATAGCAGAATACACTACTGGATAAACTGTTTAACAAAACTGTTCAAAGTGGAAGGAGATAAGTCACAAGAGAAAGAGGAAAAGCACAAGAAAAGACACAGTTGACTACCTTAAAAGGTAGCAGTATTAATAAGTTAGCACTGAACTACCCGTACAAAACAAAGGAGGCGACTTGGATCTTAACAATTACATAGGGAAGAAGGAACGATTAGAAAGAACATCAACCCATCCCTAAGCAGCCCAAGAGCATCAGCAGTGAGGGAATAAAATTAATCTGTTCCTGTGTTAAGGAGTACAGGAGGTGTCCAAGGGAAAAATTTTAAAGCAATATGTCTAGCAAGTAACAAGGAGAATAAACTATGCCTTAAAAGAAAGATGGTACAGGGAACAGATGACCAATGGCTTGAACAGGAACATAAAGAGCCCTGAGAACTAAACAGAGGTTCCAGTTAAAAAAGAAACTGGAGGAGAATGATTGACAAGAAAAGCTTTGAAGAGATCCAAAAGAACCAAAGGCAAAATGGAGAAAGGCCAGGGAAGTGATGAAAAGTCACACACAAAGCAACTCTGTAACTGATGGTAACAGAAATAGGAAGAAGTGAAAGAGGAAGTTATGAATATACCTATCATCTGAGAAGGGAAACCAAAAAAAAATAGAAACACGATGTTAAAGGGAGTTGCAAAGGCCTCAAGAAAGACTACCAAGTGAGAGTAAATCTACTGGGAGAAGGATCGTGTCTAAGTAGGATAGTCAATTTGCCA